TTGCACAGGCAGCGGAGGCATAAAAACAATTTTGTGGCTTTTATTTACGACTTAATTTAAGCTGTGCTAACCTAAGATTCACAGCTGATATTCGCGTTCCGTCATGCAACATCGGTAAAATTGCCCACTGATTCCAGCTTCAACATTTACTCAATAGGTGGCCACAGGAAATACTTGACCTTCACTGTAAATTAAGTTTCTCTAGATTCGATGTTCTGAATGATCAAAATACGTTAATTTTCGCCCTACGTCTAATATTAATTCTAAGTACTAATTGTAATTGTAATTGGCTGGTTGTGAATGAAGCTTAAAAGACCAACAAAATTTAATTTTTTTTGGAAGCAGAAACTTGAATATACAGGGTGTTTCAGGATTAAGTCGACAAACTTTAAGGATATATTCCTCATAAAAAAATAAGAAATATAAATTTTTTTCTAGAGGCGCTTCATTTTCGAAATTACTTCATTTAATCTTGTTTACGCAAATCATAGTCTTTTCGAACAAAAAATTAACAAAAATTACAAATAGTATCCATAATCAGTCCATATAATGTTATTTAAAAATTGGTCGTTTTCTTGAACCTTCTTTTGTTTTCTTGAAGTGTCAAAGTTGGTTACATATTACTATTACCATAACTACAAGTCTACACCTTCAACTTTGACACATTTGACATTTATTCAGTATGGTCCAGTACACGAATGAAGAAAAGCTCGACATAATTTTAATATTCGGTGAATGCCGTAGAAATTCCAGACACTAACCGTCGACATCCCGATCATAAAACCTTTTTGACTTTATCGATGAATTTGCTTCATTGTGGTTCTTTGAACAAAAAGAAGTATCGTAGAAACACTGCCGTGGTATTAGGTAAGGTTGAAACTAATCCTCATACCTCGGTGCAAGCTATACAACAGAAAACGGGGATTTCCGGAACATCGGTCCATAATATCTTGAAGCGAAATACGTAAAAGGGTCGTTTTTCCAGAAAGTGGTATTAGGCATTTTTTTATCAAAAAGATAATATTACCAGGCTATTCGACACCTATCAAAATACCCATATACCAAATTTGATTGACAAATGTCTATTGAGTGTTTTTTTAAGGGGTGCCTTCGAAAAATCAGACAACTAAAAATTATAATAAGCCGGTTAAAGATTGCCATTAAAGTAAAAACAAGCACCAATCGGACAAAGAAAAATTACAGACACTATAAATGTAACATTTTTAATTGTGGTCACAGTACAAAATAATGTACAAAAAATGTATTGAATTATAAATACTAAGATAAAAAAAATTGCAAAACATTAATCTAAATTAAGTTTTAGTTTTCTCCACCAAAATTAAATTAATAAACATTAATAAAGAGCAGGTACGTTTTTTAAAGTACAGAAGAGACTATGATTGAAATAGTCGTCAGTACGACATAAAATATAATTTTTTAATTTTTTTTGACAACTATGACAAAAAAGTAGGTATAACCTTATATCGCTGAATTCGTCTTTAAAATGACTGTCTTTTTATACTATAAAATATAGATTGTCCTATTCAAAAAAAAATATCGATAATGTTATAAGTCGGTCAAATATGGCTCTAAAAAATAGAAAATATTGCAGAAAAGAGACAATTTCTATTTACCAATTGACCTGAATGAAATATGAATTCTGTTCCATCACTTTGGACACACTGTATATTTGCATAAAATCTCAAATGAAATCAAAATCTCCTTCAATACCATAAATCTGGATATGCAAAATATATCTAATTTGCATCTAATTATTTTTAGTTTTTATTTTGGATAACACAGCCCCACAAAAAAAAAGGTCGTGATCTGGATGACTGTCCATGGTTTTCCTATGTATTTTCCGACGCTGAATTCAAATCCGAGGTCAAAAAAATTCGTCTACGCCTTAAATTTTTGTGTAGCGTCAAAAATATCCCTTATATAGGGGTAAAGTTTGAATATCAATATCATTACGGAAAGGAGTATGAATTGATACTTTGCAACTCTCGTGCTCTTATTCAGTATTGCCAAGGGCTCCCCCGAAGGGGTTGGTTTGGTACCCCTTCTACACAATGCACTGCGACTATTGCGCAGTAAAAACAAGAAAAAATTGCTCCCCAATTTCCTCACCCCGTCCGGTAGAGGGTACTTCACCCCTCTATGGGGTTTGATCTTTCGCTGTGTTCACCCTCCACCATGTCTCCACTGCATTCTCAAGAGCTTGTACACTAGAAGCTTTCATGATGCAGATCTATGTCCGGAAGGGCATAGAAGTAGAAGGGGTGTGGAAGGCGTACCAACCCCTTCGGAGGAAGACCTTGACAATAATAGATGAGAGCACGAGGTTTGCAAAGTGCCCATTCATATTCGTAATGATATTGATATTTATAACGTTACCATTATTTAAGGAATGTTTTTGGCTCTACACAAAAATTTAAGGGGTATGCGATTTTTTTTACCTCGGATTCGGATTCCATGGTCAGTCATCCAGGTCACGACTTTTTTTGTGAGGCCGCGTAATTAATGGAGATAACGTATGAACAAGCGGGTCCCAAGCAACCCATATTTCTTGTGAGTTTGTCGTAAGGAAATATTTTGTTTTATTGTAATAAATAAAAAGAGTACCTTTTTATAGGAAAATGTTCAGATTATCTAAAAATGACAATTTCACTTCTATAGTATATCTGTCTAAATTTGTAAAAAATATGTGTTTGGCCACTCTTTTTCTGGATACCTCATAATAGTATAATACTGTTTTTAACATCAAATCAAGAATATTTATCTGTAATAAAGTATGGCAAAAGTGATTTTAAAGTTATAACCCAAAAAATAAAACTATAGGTACCTCTTAGAGGTCAGATATATAAACGATAGGAAAAAAATATAGGGAATAGTAGTGTTATTTTCACCTCTCATATAATAAGCTCCTGAAATATCAGTAGATATTTATTGGTCATATATTGTTAACAGATTATCCTTTTGTATTAATACATAGCAACAGGGCTTCCCCCAGTTTCCGTCTCTGTCTAAAAGCCACAAATTATTTTTTAAAGAAAACTCGTCTGAATTTTTTAATAGGATTTGAAGTGGATATTATTTCCTCTTGCGTCCCAGATTTCATTCAAATATCTCTATAAATGTTGAATTTATACATTATAATGTCTGTACGAGTATACTCGTATTATAATTATATCTGTATGTTACAACCTGTAACCTCTATTTTATTCGTAATTTTTCAATTGACTTAAAATTAATTGAAAAATTTATTCAAATTAATCAATTTTTGTAATTTACATTCAAATTGATGTGAGTAATATTTGTAATGCACACTTCATTATAAAGCTTCAATGATGTCACATGATGTCATTTTTAATATCTATATATTATGCCACTCATTGAAGCGATGAAAGGAAATTTATCTATACAGGGTGTTCCTAAATAAGTGTCGCAACGGAAAACTGTAAATTCCTCTTGAAAAAAGAAACATTTTTTTCCTCTTCCATTTTTCTCTCCGGGCTTTCGTTTTCGAGATACACGGTGTCAAAACTTTAATTTTTTTTTAGTTTTTCGCCAATATCTTAGGAATCGTTTGAACTACAGGACTGAGCTTTTGTACACACATTACCACTATTAATAGCTACTTTTTCGCACCCTTCTCGAATTCATTGGACGTGCCAGTGGTGGAGATTTTAAGGTATCGTAAGGGTTTTTCCCCCCCTAAATTTTACGCCACTGGAAAAATTGACTTTTGACAGCAAATTCTAAAGCGCCAATGAATTTTACACAATAAGAGTTCTCTTGGTTCATTGCTCTAAAGTCAACCGTTTTCAAGAAAAATGACTTTTTATGAACAAAAGCAAACATTTTGCTAACGTTTCGAATACTTTTTGCATTTTGCATTTTGAACATTTTGCAAGTGCAAGTAACTGAACAGAACATCCGGAGAACGAAATGCATCGTTTATGAAATCCATGTCAATACTATCGAAAAGTTGACCGATAGAGGTGAAGCCGCAGCGGCAGAAAGAAACATGATTAGAAGATGTAATGCGTGCATTCAAGCCAACGGACGTAATTTTGAACAGTTTCTGTAAATTTTACTCGCCAAATTGATAAAAAAAAGTTAAAATCCTATCTGTTGTTAAATTTCGTTAAAATTGTTAATTATTACTACCTATTTTTTGAATTACAAAAGATTTTCGAAACGTTAGCAAAATGTTTGCTTTTGTTCATAAAAAGTCATTTTTCTTGAAAACGGTTGACTTTAGAGCAATGAACCAAGAGAACTCTTATTGTGTAAAATTCATTGGCGCTTTAGAATTTGCTGTCAAAAGTCAATTTTTCCAGTGGCGTAAAATTTAGGGGGGGAAAAACCCTTACGATACCTTAAAATCTCCACCACTGGCACGTCCAATGAATTCGAGAAGGGTGCGAAAAAGTAGCTATTAATAGTGGTAATGTGTGTACAAAAGCTCAGTCCTGTAGTTCAAACGATTCCTAAGATATTGGCGAAAAACTTAAAAAAAAATAAAGTTTTGACACCGTGTATCTCGAAAACGAAAGCCCGGAGAGAAAAATGGAAGAGGAAAAAAATGTTTCATTTTTCAAGAGGAATTTACAGTTTTCCGTTGCGACACTTATTTAGGAACACCCTGTATATAGTAGATTTATAATTATCTATTAAAAATTCAGTGCAATAAAAGAAATAAAATGTGTATCAGCCATTAGCTAAAGTATATATTGCAGATTTAATTATAAACGAAAAAACACTGTATTAGAGACAGGCTATTAATAACAAATGACAATAACTATGAAAAAATTTTAAATAAAGTTGAAGGGATAAAAAATGAGTTTAATTTTTTCTAATGAAACACGATATATTTTATAACGCCGTACTTAGTTATATTAATTCATTTTGTGCATATGAAACTCCTTTAAACTTTGCTTATTGTTGTGGAGTTACTTTATTTTCATTTATTTCTAAAACATATGTTTTTCTAGGTTCTCTCAGCCTTAGATATTCTACAACCTCCCCATCTCGACTTCTTCCAGGAAATGTATCCTTTTTTATGAAAGTTTTCAAATTTAATTTATGTGTTACTGACATAATACTTGTAATTTTAGGATCACCCTTAAATAATGCAGAATATATATCTAGAATGCCTACTAGAAAATGTGCGATTTAATTAACATTTATTCAAATGATAACATATATACAGTGTGTCCAAGATAAGGATGGGTTAGCATTAGGATCTAGGAAACGGTAAGAGATACGGAGAGGCTCAAATTAGAAAAAAAATGTGTTTTTATATACCTAACAATATGCCGTTTAGAAACTTTTAAAATTCCGGATAGTTCTGGAGATATCCGGAAAAACCCGAAATTTTGCAAAATCGTTTTATTTTTTTTCTAGCTTTATTTGAAATTGAATTTTAAAATAATTTGCATATTATTTACATTGCCACTTTTTTCGCTCTATCCAATGGCGTCAACATTTTTGCAATTCGACGTTTCTTCTTCGAGGGGCCATCATCAGGTTCATTTTTTTAAATACGTCGCTGCTATTTTTATGACAAAATCTAGTCATTTTTAATTCTAAATTAGATGATATTACTATTGTAATCGCTTAAAAAGGTTTCTAGCTTGTTTTAGCTATCATCTAAATTTTTTTCTGAGTACGGCTCTGAACGCTTTCAAAATATCTATTGGAGGAAGTCATAACAGTATAAAAGTCAATACAGCATAAAATATCGAACTTTTTTTTAAATCAATAATTGAAAAAGTTGTACCTTAAAAAAATAATAGGAATTTATGAAATGTTTTATTATTTCTCACTAGTATTGCTAAAAAAAATGTTGGATATTTTGTGCTGTATTGACTTTTATACTGTTATGACTTCCTCCAAAAGATATTTTGAAAGCGTTCAGAGCCGTACTTAGGAAAAATTTTAAATAATAGCTAAAACAAGCTAAAAACCCTTTTAAGCGATTACAATAGTAATATCTAATTCAGAATTAAAAATGACTGTAGATTTTGTCATAAAAATAGCAGCGACGTATTAAAAAAAAAATGAACCTGAAGATGGCCCCTCGAAGACGAAACGTCGGATTGCAAATATGTTGATGCCATTGGATAGAGTGAAAAAAGTGGTAATGTAAATATGAAATTTATTTTAAAATTTGTTTCAAATAAAGCCAGAAAAAAATAAAACGATTTTGCAAAATTTCGGGTTTTTCGGATATTTCTGGAACTACAGGAATTTTAAAACATTCTAATCGGCATAGTGTTAGGTATAAAAAAACACCTTTTTTTCTCATTTGAGCCACCCCGTATCTTTTACCGTTTCCTAGATCCTAATGCTATTCCATCCTTATCTTGGACACACTGTATATCTGACACGAAATTGGTTGGAGTTATGAGTATGTATATTTTTGTCTAAGCGTTAATAAGGTAAATTAATCACAATCATAAACGTCACTTATGATCCAAATTTACACTTTTTTAATATTGTGATTTCTTTCCAAAAGCAATAAATACATATAGGATTTAGGGTGATCCGATTTAGGCTGGCTGCAATGTTTTTACAGTCTAAGGCAAGGAAATGCCTCTTAGTGAGCTAAATATTCTCAAAACCAGAAATATAAGTACAATGAAATTTGGAACTGATTATTTATTATTTATTATTTATTATTTATTATTTTTTATTATTATTTATTA